GCAACAGTTTCTTGAGGTTCTTTTTGTTTGACCTCAGTCTTCTCCTTTGTATTGTTATGGAGAAGTCGATTGTGTGTCGCGGTGCATCCTTTTATTCCACACTTATTGGTTTTGCATTTGTGTGTCTGATTTCGATAACGTAAACAGCGGAAACATAAATTATTTTGCTTTGCGAGTTCCCATCTTTTGTTGATATCTGCTTCTTTTAATTTTTTACATTCAGATCCGTAGTGACCCTCTTTTTCGCACACTCTGCATTTCGGAGACGGCTTAGTAGTAGCCGCGTGTGCTCTATGTACTGAACGATTGCTTTGTGCTTCTTTTATAATTTCTGGAGGCGCAAATGCACTGCAGAAGTGAGCTTGCTCGGTAATAAACTCGCTGAAGCAGCCGAGGTCTGGTCTAGAGTCATATTTTTCGGTGTAGATTCTATACCACTGGGCACGTATAGAGTTTGGCAGTTTGTCGGTAAGGTGTCGTAGCAGCTCTGCGTTGACGAGGTAATGATCTCGCTTTAGGGCTCGAAGAGTGACGACGCTTCCCCTCACTTTGCTCGCGAATGTGCAGATGTCTCTAGGTGATTCTGTACAGCGTGCTAATCCTCGTAACTTCTCGGTTTCTGCTTGCGCGATTGAATCTGGACGCCCAAATTGTAGCTCCAGTTCTCGCATAATCTCATCTGGCTTAGCATGCCCGATAAGTTCTGAACTGACTGTTTCCAAGGCTCTTCCTTGTAGACTTCGTCTTAGTCTAGCAGTGTTTTCAATGTCATTGAAGTAGCCTCGGGTTGTTTCGTAAATGGCACGGAATGAAAGCCACTCGGTATGTGTTCCGCTAAAGCTTGGCAGTGTCATTATAGCTTTCGACGCTGCGAAAGTATGCGACGATAGTGGCGCACTCTCTAACTTTGGTTTGTCAGCGAGCGCGGCTATAGCGGATGTGAGCTCCGATATAAACGGACGGAGCCCCCTGTCTTCACTTATGACAGGTTCCTGGCTAGGTTTCTTTGGATTGGGATCCTTTTGTACATCTTCTGGATAGGAATCCTGGTTTATGAGCTCTGATACAATAGGTAGGAGCCCCCTGTCTTCATCAACGGTGGGTTCCTGGCTGAGCTTCTGTGGCATGGGATCCTTTTGTACATCTTCTGGATAGGAATCCTGGTTCGTGAGCTCCTTTTTGGGGCTCACTGAGGTCGACAACGTCCGGGGTCGGCTTTGTGACGGTTTTATTAAATGGTGCCTTCCCTCCGGTGATTGCGCCTTGATTTGACTTTTGTTTGGCTACAGAGTTTTCGAGCCAAGATCGAATGTACTCACTTTTGAAGTGACCATCTTCATCATAGTCGTCCGATTCGTCCTCTTCCACAGCCATCTGCAAGGAGATCTGCGCAAGTTCTAGTTTGATCTTCAATACTTCTTCACGAGCCTTCAAAATTTTTCTATTGGGCCGAACAGTCTTCTTAGACTTCGTACTGCAAACGGTGTGGCCCCTCGGTGGCTCTTCGGAGTGGGTGTCTTCCCGGGCTGGTGGCGATGATGCACGGCTAAAGTCATCGTTGCCTTCTATATGTTCCCTCTGCTTCGTTGTGCGGGCCGTAGTGGACGGCGCGGGCAGGGGTATCCCCCCTCGGGGGGGCAGCATGGCGCCTCAGCGCCCTCTACCGTTGACGGTGAGCGTGGTGGCATCTGGTAGTGGACGGCGGCGTTACTGGCCGACGAACCTCCTTCCAGACCGACGGTCCACGCCTTGGCTGCCCTTCCTTGCGAACGGGTGATCGGCATCTTGAATCTGAAAATTCTGCGGTTTTAATACGGTGGTGACTATTTACCCGGTTCCGAAATACAAACGGATAGATCCGGCTCGAAGGACCAACGAATGTGCCGGACGGGCGAAACTCTCCGGAGTAAATGTTGTCGAAGATACTTCGCGAGTCGCTCACGTCCTACACCTATAGGTTCCGGTGGGTACTCTCACCGCCGTCTTTGTTGGTACCGCTGAAATATTGTGGACTGTAGTTAAAATCAAAATGCACGATTAACAAATACAAATAGCAAGGTAGTGGCCAGCGGTTCAACTTATTGATTAATCACGAAATTTTATAACTATTATTTATTGATCACTGTTGTTAAACTACGGTTGTTCACTATTGGTTGGTCACTGTATATTTCAAAAGCTTTCTTTAAATTGTACGGTGGTATCAAATATCTATTGGTAGTAGCTGGTTTTCTAACACTACTGACTAGCAGCTATTATCAACTAAACTAGCTGATTTTATCACTTGTGTAACTGCGGATATCAGTTACCACTTTCACTATATGTAACTGCGAATGTCAGTTACGACCTTTTTAGGCTAGCTAACACTTTCACTATATGTAACTGCGAATATCAGTTACGACCTTTTTTAGGCTAGGTAACACTTTCACTATATGTAACTGCGAATATCAGTTACGACCTTTTTAGGCTAGGTAACACTTTCACTATGTAACTGCGAATATCAGTTACGACCTTTTTAGGCTAGGTAACACTTTCACTATGTAACTGCGAATGTCAGTTACGACCTTTTTTAGGTTAGCTAACACTTTCACTATCCACTATATACTGCTACTAGTCACTTCAGCTACCACCGGATACCACTCACTTCACTTCACTAGTCACTGGTAGTTCTTCACACTACTACGGATACTGGGCCCCGAGCCCCTAAGGTAGACTTGAGCAATACTTTACAGTGAGCCGCTTGCCATTTTCCGTTTTGCCTCTTTATTGCATAAACTTATCACTATACAAATGGCATAAATTGCAATATTCTTTATACAAACTAATTGCTACACTAACATGCTATACATCATTAAATCGGTAGTCTGGTACTTTATTAGTATATCATTAAGGTTAATAAAAACATTAACATTGTAAAAAGTTATTAAACGAAATGTCCCAAATTTTCATAATATTTGTGCATTTTAATTCTTTAATTTTTCTATAACTACGAAATGCGTTTAATTATACAAAAATATTCCTATACTTCTTTCATCTATAAGCCATATGCTAATTCAATGTCATATTTATAACTCTTTTAGAACATAAAATTATTTTCATTATTTTTAGTATGATCTATTACGCAGTTAATTAAAAAACTTCTAGAGAGTTCCACGATAAGACACGCTGTGATTGGTCGATTTTTTGGTATATAATAAAAGTTGTTTATATTACTTGTTATCAAAACGACATTCTATACAAACATATTGAGAGTTATAAATATGCTAAATAACTATATTAATACACGTTTTCACTCAGTTTTCTTGGTAATTTCAATATTAATACATAAAACAATATTCTTTATCATTTTGTTTCTTAAGGTTGTTAGGCCGTCGCGAACAACATCTATCCTCGATTACGAATCAAAATGCAGATGCGTTGTCACCCGTGAGGACTAAGATGGAATGCCTCGTTTCCAGTAAAAAGGGTCACCGGTTCTCTACACTCACCATACGAAATACAGCAGCATTAAGCTACTATTTCACGCTGGTATTCTGTGAGAGCGTGGTCCTTCCCCGGTCGAGCCGACCCATTCGTGCTACAACTATACTACTAATATAACTGCAGCATGGCTCTACCACGTATGAAACGTACGTATTTACGTACATATTTAAATTTAGCGCGCAGTTTCTAACGCTTTCTAAAGTCACAGTTGGTGGCGCTGATAAACATATGCCAAGACGTCAACTGATGGAAAACAGACACTATTTATCAGTTAGTTTGTAGCTTAATAAAGTTATCAAGCAAGTCTACAAATATTCGTGCTGGTACAATAATGTCGTTGTACGATCGGCGGTTCAAAGCTTTTATTAAATGTTACAAGGATTCCTTGTCTAATTGTATATTATTTTCAGGCGAAATGTTAGCTGAGATTTGGTCTCAGATGGTTATTGACGGTCATGACGTTTCATCGCCTTATTAAAGTTGGGAGTGTATGCAATCATCTATTATGTAAAGTATCATATTGTACGCGGTTCGTATTCATTATATATTTAATATGCCTAAATGTGACGTTTTCATATACAATCGGGGCTCATATTATTAGAGCCACAGTAAAAAAGTAGATTAATTTTAGTTTAGGTAGAAATAAAATCAGGATGTGAAGGTTTTTTGTTTCGAATATATTTTATTAAGTATATTGCTTTATTAATACATTTAAGAAAACGGAACTTATGTATTTAATAAGTGCAATAAATATAAAAATATAAATTAAATCAATATTTAGTGACACCGCCTTTTGCTTCTATAACCGCCTGAATTCTCCTGGGCATACTTTCGATACATTTTGAGCAGTTTATCTTAATTGATTCACCCCGGTGCCAAACATCTATCAAACGCTCGATCAGTTGGCGTTTATTAGTGATGAGTTCTCTGGAAATTTCTCGTTTCGTCAACTCCTTGAGGTTCTCTATGGGATTGAGGTCCGGCGAATTTCCAGGCCAGTCAAGAACTTTACACTCTGGGCATTTAAAAATTTCGTGACCTTTTTTGCTTTGTGGCAAGGAGCAGAGTCATGCATGAACGTAAATTCGCCGTTCAGAAACCACTCCTGGACCTGGGGCAGCATTTTTGTCTCAAGGACCTGGATTAATTGATCCTGCCGCATCGTTCCCTCCACAATGTATAGACGACCAGTGCCTTTGCTGCTTATTATGGACCATACCAAGATGCTGAATGGTTGCTTCACTCGCTTGATTATGCAATCTTCTTTGAATTTCTCACCCTTCCTTCTTCTTACAAATACAGCTTTGTCCGACAAAATTTGCATTGACGATTCATCAGAAAAACAAACCTGAAATATTTATTATTATTTTAGTGTACAGAAATCAAACTTTAAATTTAATTTAAATTAATGTGGATCTCGCTTTTTACTTCCACCAGCTTCAAGAATTATTCACCTACCTTATTCCAGTCTTCAGCAGTCCAGTTCTGGTGTTCTTTTGCCCATTGTAAACGCTTTGACATCATAGCCTGTGTAAGAAGAGGTTTTTAGCCGGTCGACGACAAATGAACCCCAAGTCTTTCATGCGTCGACGAACTGTTGCTAGGGAAATGTTGATTCCAGCGTCCTGTACCTTCTTCGTAAGAATCTTCCGAGGTGCCTTCCTGTTTTCAACACAGATATCCCTTATTTTTCTTTCATCACGTGGCGTGGTAATTTTCTTTCGTCCACAATTTTTCGCACGTTTCGGCGTCAGGTCCACATTTGTGTCAAGTTTTGTTTTTATTCGGTCAACTGATGCCCTCGAAACGTTAGCAATCGATGCAATCTTTCTTTGGGAACGCCCAGTATGCAATAATAAAGTTTTAATTTCGGAAATTTTCCTTGGAGACAGATCTTTAGCTTTTCCCATGATTAAAATATATCCTGCAAATAAAATAACAAAATTTATGTGAAAATGATTTCTTTTAGCAACACACATATTTAAGCAAGCTGCATATGGACAAACATTGTTAAAACACACCAACACTACAAAAAAATTGATAAAAATGCATAAATAATCTCCAAAATACTCACCCGGACAACGAAACTGTTAAGCGTCGACTGACTGTGTTACAACAAAATGGCGACCATGTGACAGATTATCCACTCTTTAGTGTTGCCAGTTAAATCATAATCTACACAGATCCATAAATTCATAATAACAAAATATAAACTTAGCAGACATAGTTTGAATGCAATAAATATTGATTAAAATGCCAAATCGATTATTTAAGTAGATGGCTCTAATAATATGAGCCGCCACTGTAATTACATGGTAACATTAATTTATTATTACAAATTATGCGCGATGTTCAAACCTATGTTTACTGTGTTTTTAATTGTTTACGTTTTACCCACATCTATAGTTAATATTCTGTATGCTTGTAATGGATTCCTTCATTATTGTACGTAATTTTTTTTATTTCTCGTAAGCGATTTGTAATCTTTTGAGAAATAAATAATATCTTAAACCTAAAACCTAAACCTAACCTATTATTCTGACTATAAGAACGGTTAATATAGTGTGTTATTATCAAAAATGCAGAGGTATTCGTACTAAGCTACATACGTTGTATATGAATATTTTGTCTCATGCATATGACCTTATTATTCTGACGGAAATTTGCTTAATACCAGAAATTGATAATAGCGAATTTATAGACCAGCGTTATACAGTTTACCGTTGTGATTGCAATCGTAGCAAGAGTGACGGGGGTGGTGTCTTGATTGCAGTTCTGAAGGGTTTAAGACCTATGCCTATTATTCCGGGGTATGAGAACACTTTGTTGGATAGCATTGAGAATGTGTGCGTTTGCCTTTCTAGCTCAATAGCATTATGTAAATTACTGGTAGTCATTTTTCTATGAAAGAAAGATCTAAGGGTTGAGAGCTGCTTAGTCCAGATAGCTTTGATGTCTATAAGACCTCTTCCACCTCGATTTCTGCCTATCGAAAAACTTTCTACTGCAGACTTGGGATGTAAACAATTAAATTTTGTTAATACGGTACGTGTTTTTATTTCGAGGCTAACTATGTCCGTTTTTGTCAATTTTATGATACCAAATGAATATGTTGTTATTGGAATCGCGTAAGTATTAATAGTTTTACGAGCTTAGGGTTCGTGACAATAATAACTGCCGATCGAATTACCAAAATTAACACTTTAATTACTGAAGACCAATTAAAACTTAAATCACACTAATAATTATTCACTCTTAACACTTTAGTTCACTTTATTTCACTTCGAAAACTTCGCTCGTATTCGATTCAATACTGCCCCGATCGCGGCTGTGAACGGCTTTATGTAGGGCTCTTCCACCGAAACATCCAGAATATTCCATCAAATACGGGCCCCGACCGACCAGGCGCAGAAAGTTCAAGTGTGGGGTTTTCTAGAACGCTTAGTTCATCTATTCGATACTAGATGGCGCTGGAGGTGGAAAGTTCCAGCATTGCATTTTCTAGAAAGCTCTTCTCGCTCTGTTCCCCGACACAAGATGGCCAGTGCCAGGTACTAGACATCAACTTAGGCGCGCAACACTGCCCCTTCCTAAGACATGCTCGTCCCGAGCATTATCGGGCCCATAATAACGCGCCAGTCGATCCACATGGACGATCTTAGGAGTACCTCTTGCGCTTTTCTGTATCCGGTAGGTTAGGTCGTTGATCCCGGTCACAATCCGGTACGGGCCGTCCCTTTTAGCTTGAAGCTTAGATTTCCCTTTGCTGCGGACTGGATTGTGCAACCACGCTAGTGAACCTTCGTCAAACTCTTTGTTGTTCATTTTGCGGTTATACCGGGTGTTATGTACACATAAGACCTGGCAAACACTTACCACAGTAACCTTTGAGCTGCTCTGCGATTATCGGTCCCGGTGTGATGTGGATTCTGGCCAAATATGTCCACTATTTTTCTTTTTCACAGGTCAGATACGGAAAACTGCCTTAGTATTCGATGAAGCAGGAAAATGAGATCTTGTCTGCTGCCAGTAACGGAGCGCGTACGTAATGTGTACCGTCAAAAGCGTTAATGCTTGTGTTCACGAAGAAGTTGGCCGTTACTAGGGGTCGTTGTGGGTGTGGTTTAAAAAAAGGTTGCTCGCTTCAAGTTAGAGTGCTTACCAGAAAGAAAAAAATATTTATTTGAAACATTTTGCGTAAGACGAAATGTTTTCTTTTCAAATTGCACTGTTTTTAATTGTGTTACGCAGCCCTAATCTAGGCAATCTGCAGCGTTGCATCAGTTTACGCCAACCACAAGGCACCGCGTCAGCATAACGTGTGTACTGTGTAATATTACCTAGTTCTGATATTTTACCGTGTGAATTCATTCTAGATTCAAACTTCGAATTAGAGTCACCTCTTTTAGTTGTAATAATTAATTGTAATAATTATTGTAAATTAAATATATTTTAAATCAGATTCAATTTCGACGTTCGCATAGAAGCAGCTCGGTAGTTGTGCTCCCTAAGTAATATTTTGTTTCGAAAGTTTTTAATCACGTTTAAAGTTAGTATGTATAAGATCTCGTAATTATAGTGCGTAAAGGTTGTGTTGTGATATAAAATTCTCAAGAAAACCTAGTCTTAAAGTATATTTAAACAAAGAAAAGTTGAAATCGTTTGTTTTTGTTTACATTGAGCGGTAGAGGAATAATTGTGAGTGCCGGTGCGCTGAGCTCCCTGATACGCAAACTGCGATCTTACTCGGACTGTAGACTGTTAATAGTCGCATACGCCCGGCTAGTTTGTAATGCATCGCCCGACCGAGTACTGATAAGGTAATACTGATAGTACAGCGATAATTCCGTGCAATAACAAAAAATATAATAATAAATAATTTGCATCCACGAGTACAAGATCGTATGGTTTGTCTTTTGATCGTAACCTAATTATATTTGAGTGGATTTATGATGTCTAATGCGAATTGGGGCTGTTGCTTTTCCGAAAATGATAACTGTGACGAATTTATTGTTTGCGTTAAATGTGAAAGAAAATATCATTATGCATGTATGATAATTGATCGTAAAATTATTACCTCTGATTTACTAGCGACATGGGCATGCCCTAAATGTGTCCACCTACAACCAAAAACGGCAAATAAAGATAATACACCTGTGAGAAATGTCAGTACCGTAAGAGGAAACAAAAGAATAGCCATTGGATCGCCACAGTCTGATCCCGAAAAAGTGAACATTTCTATGGAAGACATCCGTCAAGTGGTAGAAGGTGTGATGGATGATAAAATGAACGATCTATTTAAAAGATTTAAAGAAAACTTGGTTGGATTCTTCGCGAAGGAAATTAAACCAATGAGAAATGAATTGTCGAGTATTAAGGAATCTTTAACATTCATTAATGATCAGTATGAAGGCATAAAGAAAGAAAATGAAGCCTCTAAACTAAAAGTAACAACTTTGGAGAAAGAGAATGCAGAACTGAAAGGAACTGTACATGCATTAGCTCAGAGAGTAAATCAAATAGAACAACACTCCCGTCAATGTAATTTAGAACTCCAGAACGTTCCTGAGTCAAGAAATGAAAATCTTAAAACAATAATAACAAAGTTGAGTGAAGTCATTGGTAGCTCTCTGAATGAAAAGGACATTCTAAATTGTACACGCACTGCCAAAATGAATCGCGAATCCAAGCGTCCAAGATCTATAATAGTGCATCTAGCTTCACCTAGGATTCGCGATGAAATGCTGGCGATGGCCTCAAAATACAACAAGGTGAACTCACAAAACAGACTTAATGCTACACATCTTGGATTAATAGGACACACCACTCCTGTTTTTGTAACTGAACATCTATCCCCAGTGAATAAGGCTATTCATGCGGCGGCTAGACTCAAAGCAAAGGAGAGCGGATATAAATATGTGTGGGTGCGTAATGGTAGAATATTTATGAGGAAGACCGATGAGAGTGACTATATTCTGGTAAAAAGTTTAGAAACTCTAAAAAAACTTATTTAAGTAATTCTTTTTGTTCCTTTCTTTCTTATTGTCTGTTATATGGTAGGGTTTTTAATAAAATTCGATACGCTAAAATTGTACTATCAAAATTGTAGTGGTCTTAAGACCAAAACACATGGTTTCTATAATCAAATACTATGTAACAACTATGAAATAATAATACTCACTGAGACCTGGCTAAATGATTCTGTTTCGAGTAGTGAACTTTTTGACCCTAGATATGTAGTATATAGAAGAGATAGATCTTCTGCCAGTAGTACTAAGAAAGAGGGAGGGGGGGGTTTTAATAGCAGTATCTAGGAAATTAAAATCAAAGCGTTTAAAAGCTTGGGAGTCGGATCTGGAGGATTTATGGGTTTTAGTCGAAGCGCCAGTTTCACACTCAATTTATCAAATTGCTTTCTGTGCCATTTATTTACCATCTCCTGTAAAAAGTGTAACTTATGATAAATTTTATGACACATGTACTAGCGTCCTGGAAGAGAAGTGTCTACATTGTATAGTGGGTGATTTTAATCTATTTTCCATAAATTGGAGCTTGTTAGATGAGGATTCTGCGAAATGCGAGCTTTCCACTGTTAGTCAGTCATTTATTGAATTTTTAAACGTCAATGATTTGAAGCAGTACAGTCGTATAAAGAATCAGACTTTAAATAGAACACTTGATTTGGTTATTGCAAATTTACCAAACTGCACAGTAGAACAGGCACTTTGCCCCCCTCAGCAAAGTTGACAGGCACCATCCTCCTCTTGACATAAGTATTAAGCTATTAAATGAAATAAGATTACCTTATAACACTGAAAACGTACAATTAAATTTTTATAGAGCTGACTATGATAGTATTTGTAAAGAATTAGCGAGTTGTGATTGGGTCAAGCTACTTGATGGGTTGACA